GGAGCGCACGAACAGTGGAAGTGGGAGGCGTTGTGCGCGTGGCAGAGGCCAGAGTGCAGACACGGGCGCAGTGCGCAGGCGTCGACGATGGTCTGGCAGTGGAGGCCGGAGAAGCCGTCGGGACAGTGGCAGCGGTACGCGTCGGGCGCGGTGTTCACGCATTGGCCGCCATTCAGGCAGAGGTGCGCGACGGAGGCGCACACGTCGAGGTTGTGGTCACAGAGAATTCCGCCCCAATTGCGGTCGCAGTTGCACTGGAAGGGCGCGACGCAGAAGCCGTGGCGACAACCTGTGGAGAGGAGTGTTAGTGACGGTTGTCATGGCGACAAAGCACTGACCGGGGTAGGGCTGGCACTGGTCGCAGCGATCGCCGCGCCACCCGTGGCGACACACGCACTTATTTGGCGATTCGCAGAATCCGTTGAAACAATCGCAAAGCGCTGCAAAGAGAGAGAGAAGTGGAGGAATTGAAGGAAGAACAGTGGTTGTGGTTCTCACGCGCGTCACAGGAGGCGCCACTCCAGCCGACGGCGCACTCTTTGGTGCCGTTCGCGGAACACGAGTAGTGGCCGAACGTGTCGTCACGTGACCGGCAGAAAACGGCGCAATCGTTGGAGTGATAGTTGGGATCGCATTTCACGCGAAAACTGAGCGACAAATCGGGAGTGAGTGGGCGTGTCGTCCATTCGTTGGAAGGCGTGGCCAACGATTCGGTCAAAAAGTGACGTTTCGTGTCGTCCAAAGTGACGACCAATGAGAAGGCGTTCTGAAAAAAGTGACATTTGTTTCAAATCTCGAGAGAATTGGCGCTCAAAACACATCTGTCGCGGAATTCGCGCGAAAGTGAGTCACGAGACGAGAATTGCTTCACTTTTCAGTATTTTTGAATTTAAAAGTCTTGTAAATAAAGTTAAATAAAGTTGACTAAAAGTCACGTGACTTACTGTCCAGCGGAAAGTGAACGCGATTTGCGCTTCTTTGCGATTGTTGACTCGCGCGACGCCGAAAGTGCACTCTTTGGCCGCGTCTGTCCCCAAATCACGTGACATTTCGCGCAAACAAATAGTGGCGAAGAGTTGGCGCGAGAAGAGGAGTTGGAAAGCGCCCGAAGTGGACACCAATGGCGCGAATGTCGGCGCGAACAACAATGCGAATAAAACGGAAGCCATTGCGCGAAACAGAAGCCAAACAGAAGTGGAATTCAGAATTGCCGAAAGCGAAACCGAAGTCACGACTGCAGCGGCGGAACCAATATTCGCTCCATTCTGGGCTCCGCCACCGCGTCTGCGCAATCGCCGCGCGCGCGCCCTCTGGCGGCGGTGGGAGTGAACTGTGGTGTGAAGTGAATGGAAGAGCGAGAGCTGCGCGGAGACGACGAGTGAAGGAATGGCGAGAATAGAAGAGAAAAAGCGTTGAATTGTGTTTGGATTTCCATTTCGCCGCCATTTCTGCCTTTCTTTCCTCTCTTTTGTCCGCAAAAGAGCTTCGCTTCGAATTCGGTTCGAATTTTCGCATTTATTTTCGACCAAAAATCGGTTTGTTTTCTAATAATCGCTAAAAATGTGTAAATTTTCCTCAATTTGAATAAAAATCAATGATTTACTGAATGTATGTTTGTTTGTGTCGCGCGCGCCATCTGTGGGCCGCCACTGCGTTGGGGCGGGTGTGCTGTGAGATGAAGGCAAGAGCGCTGGCGTGCGATTGGCGGGAGGCCGGCGCGGGGGGCGTGGTCTGCGCTGCGATTGGCTTAGAGTTGGGGCCGGTTCTGTCTTTGGGCTGTTTTCGTGCAGTGTTTTCGTCGTTCGAATCGTTTCGCCATTTCTTTCACTCTTTGTCTCAAAGAAAAGCATTTTTCGCGAATTCAAGTGTTTTTTGGCGCAAAAAACCGCAGAAAATGTCTTCAGAATCGGGAGAACCAGTGGTTCAGCAGAACAACAACTCCGCGGCCGAAGAGTCGCCGTTGAAAGAGACGAATAACGCGAAGAACGACTCTTTGAAGCGAACGGCGAATGAAGTAAGAAATGAACGCTTTTTTTGCTCTCTTTTCTCAAAACAATTGGCTTTCAGTTCAGCGAAGACTCGAATTCGGTTCTCGAGTCGCAGGAAGAGAACAATTCGGGCAAAAAGCAGAAGACTCGGGAAAACGGCACCGAAGACGAGTCCAACGACGCGCCCGAAGCCGGTAAGCAGTGATTGTGTCGCGCGTTTGGGCTCTTTCCTCACACGAGCGCATAGCGTGCTGTGAGAGAAGGGCCCACTCGTGGCGTTGAGTGTTGAGCGCATTCCTCATCGATGTTCGATACGATCGATAGGCGGAGACGTCGACGACGAGGAGGAGGACGAAGAGGACGATGTGGTGCCGGAGGACTACGCCGACGACGACGACGACGACGAGGCGGCCAATGACGACGACGACGACGAAGAGGACGACCAGTAATTGTCGTCGATTGACGTCGGAATCGATTTTCGATTGTATTTAATCATCGATTGATTATTGACTTAAATATTACACAAAAATCTTATTATTATTTCATTTTGTATTCAAAAACAAAAGAAAACATTTTTTTGAAACAAAACACAAAACATTTCGTATTTAATGTCTCGTCTTCTCAACAATCCTTTGGTTTTCATTAAAAATCCATAAAAAGTCCAAAAAATCGTTTTTCTCTCTCTTTTATAGAAAAGAATTTTCTTTTAATAAAAATTAATTTAATTTTAAGTTTAATTCAGTTTTTGTCAACAATTCTTGAGTTTTGTTCAAAGATCTCGAGATTTCTTTTTCCATCCTTTGTTTGGATTTCTTTAAACGCAAAAAGCGTTCCAAAAGTGAATTCTCTTCCGAAAACTCTTTCCAAACGGAAATCGCAGTCAAGAGAGCGTCACGTGACTTCCCGGACAACTGCGCCTCGCTTTCGGCCAACACTTCGGCCAACAGCGCTTCCAACCCCTCCAACGTCTTCCCCTTCTCCTGCAACACTATGTTTGGCACGAATTCCGCGCTCTGTCTCCGAATTGGCGACAATTTGGCGCAAAACGCGAACAAAGAGTTCGACGAATGAGTCCTCACATCACGTGATCGGATGTCGAACGGAGAGAACGTGTCGTCGTCGAGGACGTCGTCTGTCGTCAGATGTGTCGTCACTTTCGACAGATTGTTGTCCTTTTGGTCGACATTCGAGTCGAAACTCGATTTCTCGCCTTTCGGTCGTCTTTTCCCGCGTTTTTGCTGTTTCTGGTCGTCACTCACGCGAAGACCGATTCTGGCGCGCGAGACGTCGCGATCGGGTTCCGACCAGATGTCCGACTCGTCCGAACTCTCGCGCAACGCTCTCCTCTCCACGCGTTCGTCGCTCTCGCGCTCTGAACACGAATTCGGGATTAAAACCAATCAATTAAATGCCATTTCATTACTTGTGACCAGAATTTGCGCGCAATTCAACAGATCCTCGCTTCGGTCCAGAAGACGACACAAGCGTTGTTCGCGTCGTCTGTCGTCTTCGTTGTCGTCGCGGAAAAGACGACAAAATTCTTGTAAATTCTGAATAACTTTCGAAACAAATTAATCGCAATTCAAAGGCGTTTCAAAACTCACGCGAAAGCGACAACTGTTTGCTCTCTTCGTAATCGCGCGACAATTGATTGAATTCATTGTTCAGACGTTTTATTTCTTCAAACGTTTGGATGTTTTCTGGAAAACAAGAATTCAAAGAAAAGCCGCGAAAAAGGAATTCAAACCGGAATTCATTTCGAGATTGTTTTGGTTTTTCTCCAAACAATAAATCCTCAGTTTTAGCGAAAAGTTCTCTCTTTTCAGTTCTTCCGCCGCTCTCTCCGAGTCTCTGATCGTCAGCCGTTCGCGACGTCTTCTCTCGTCGTCGCGCGTCGTCTCTCTCGTCGTCCGATTGTTGGCGACGGAGAGCGACGGCAACGACAGAGTCGTCGTCTCGTCCGACGTCTCGAAGTCGACACAAGCGCTGAAAGCGAGACAAATGTCGTCACAAGAGATGAAACAATAGTTTTCGCAAACCTTTTCTCGAGATTCAAAAAACACGACTTTTTTTGGTTTTCCATATTTTGTAAACAATTCTGGAATTCGTTTCCATAGAAACCGGACGTAATTTCGGACGTAATTCTTGGGAATCAGATTTAATTTGCATTTTAATTAAAACCGAATTCAACACAAAATTTACGCCATTTCCGACGAAAGGAGGCGTCGGGAGGCGGGGGCGCCGCCCGAGAGTCACGTGACGCGAGAATAGGAATAAAAATGACTTTTTTATTGATAAATGATTTGAAATTTGAACAAAAAATGACTGAAAACTAGATCTCATGACTAGAGAAGTGGCGGAAGAGAAACCGAAGTTTGACACGAAGTCGAAGACATTGTGGGCGCGAGCGGGACGTCGGGCGTCGCGGCGGCGGTCTTCGCGCGCGGTTTGCGACCGGTCTGGAGCTTGAGATGCGTTCGGCTCACGTGCTCGTGGCGCTGACCCGGACTAATGAAGCCGCGCCCGCATTGTTTGCACGCGTAGGGGAATTGCTTCGTGTGTTTGTAGATCTGATGCGTCTTCAGAGACGACGCCTTTGGAGACAGAGAGTTAGCGTCGCGTGTCGTCAACAATGAATGCATACCTGAGTGAAGCGCGAGCCGCACGACGAGCACTGCGGGAGAAAGAGAGGGTTAGGACACGACAGGTGACGACAGGGACGTCGGGGACGACAGTGACAGACCTGATAGGGGCGTTCGCGGGTGTGAGTCCTCGTGTGACAGATGAGAGAATAACGAACTGAAAGAAGAATGGCGTCAATGAGAGTCACGTGACTTGTGGCCAAACCTGTGAATGTTTTTCCGCAATCAATGCATTTAAAAGGTCGCGATTTTGAGTGCGTTTTCTCGTGAGACCGCAGTTTGGCCACAGAGACGAAGTGGCGGCCGCACTCCAGACACGACATCAGGTTCGGGTCGTTGGGCGCGACGGCGGGGGCGCGCGCGCGGGCGGG